GCAAATGTTAACCTCTCCAGATTCTCTGGATGAACTGTGCAAATGTTGAGTTGTTTTTTTACTGGTCCAAGAAGTCTCAAATGACTGCATCTATGCATTTATCTTTTATTGAACCTGTTCCCATCGAATACGTCATTGGAGCCCTCAATTGATAGGAACTATGTGAAGTTCATTTGTCTATTTCTTGAATTCATCAGCAATGGTCTCCAATTTCAGCTATTTTTTTGCCATTGTTATCTTTGAAAAGACTCCCAAAATCAGTAACCTTCATCTTGCTCCTGCAATCTCTGCCAGTCAGTTCTTCAAATATAGGCTTTCATTGTGATTGATGTAAACCCGGTTCATTGTGAGTCCTTTATAATGCAGCAGAGTGATATACTCTTCAATTGTGGGCACAACGTCTTCTGGATCAAATGTGACACATAATCACCTTGTAGACTGTCCCCTGTATTTTCATCTCTTGTATTACAACCCCTTTATCTATTAATGCAAATTATTTACGTTTAACGAACACGTTTTAATGGATCAACACCTCTTTTAAATGATGTAAATGATAAGCAATAAAATAAAACAATAAAAAAAAGGGAAAATGAAAAGAGAAAAAAAATTAGTGAGATAAGGATAATAAAAATAATAATAATGAAAATAAAAGTCCTACCCCATATGATATCTATCCCACATACTTAGTATTCCTACTCGTACATGATCTCTGTCCCGTAAGTTGATTTTGAACAAGTCCTAACTGCATAAATTTCTAGTTCACATGCTTTGAACATAAAATAAGGCAGGAAATGAACTCAAAATAGCCTAGGGTTTGAAATGAGGTTTTGGGATGACTATAATTTTCTGTAGTCTCTCGGTTTAGGTTCTAAAAAACGGTACCCGAGTTCTCCTTGCCGGTGCCCCCTTGGGCTTTCCAGACCCTTAGTCCTAAACCCATCACAGGCTTGTGTGGACTAAGTTAAACTCGAGTGGACACATTCCCTTATGCTCGCACGGTGAATAAATTCACACGAAGACATAAGGCATATGAATCACGAAGGTTACTTGCTAGGCCCGCACGGAGAATAAATTCTCATGAAGGCGTCGCTTTCACCTCCACTTAAATAAGGTTCAGAGCTCGGGTATAGAGCATGAGATGACAATTTTGAAAAATCTGAAAACATTAAAAAACGTTAGTACAACTATTTATTTGAAAAATATTCAAAGATAAATAATTGGAATCGAATAAATAAATTAAAATTTAAATTTACCATTTTCGCATAAAAAGACAACCGAAAATTAATTCTGGCCTGACTCACTTACTGTCCCCAGCAAAGTCGCCAAGCTGTCGCGACCGTCTTTCGGGTGGTTCCAGAATTTGGCTTCGACTTGGAATAAAATATTGGAGTCACCACCGATCATTTATTTTTCGTAAAATATTTGGTTGATCGGATACCATCTTATCTGATCTGCGTTTTACCAAAAATATGTCGGATTCGGGAGTCAGTTACAGTCAAGGAAGGATTAGCACCCTTGAACTGCCCTTTCGGTACCATTTCATTTATCGGTTATCTTAATTATGAAAATTACAATTTAAATTAAAATTTAGAGGTTCGATTCAAATTACTTACCTTTAATTGATTAAAATTATCCTAAAAAATCATAAATAAAGTAAGAAAATAAAACAAACAAACACAAAGAGTTAGTATTAAGATTGAAATAAAATAAGTAAATAAAAGGAATGAAAAAAAAATCAAATTAAAAATTAAATTGGAAACAATTAAAATTTATGGGTCGAATTAATCTTAAGAACGAGCTGCAAGAAAAACAAAAACTTAAGGGATTAAATAGCAAAAATAAAAAAATAAAGTACTAAAATAACACAAACGAAAAATTAAAGGATTAAAGTAGAAGGATCTAATAAATATATATGAACAAATAAGATCCTCAACAATCAATTTAAAATAAATACATGGCCTAAATTGTAATAAAATCTAATTATGTAGATTAAAATGCAAAACATAAAATAATAATTAAATAAAAAATAAACAAGGATCCAAATGAAAAATAAAATAAAATAACAATGGCTAAATAAAAAACTAATAGTGACTAAACTAAAATAAAAAATAAAATAAATATCATAATCAAATGATACAATAACTGATGCTACGGGGTCTAAATTAAAATAAATGTAAACATGATGTCCTAAATAAAATACCATAAAACATATAAATGACTAAAACAAAATAAGACATGATATGTAGCCCAAATTGAAATAAATAACAAAAATGCCAATTTTAGTGATCTAAATAAAACACTACAAGAATATAGGGACCTAAAGGATGTTTACCCATGATTTAATGCTCCAAACGTTACTTGGGCTAAAGAAAAGGACTCATACAGTGATTTAGCCTTAACTTAGTGACGAGAATAATATGTATTTCCTAAATTTAGAGGACTTATGCGTGATTATACCATGAGTTAGTGATAAAGCATGAAGCATCTTTAGAACCTAAGGACCTATTGCCAAATTTACCCAAAAATTAAAAAAACACATAACCCAACCTTTATTATTTCCAGTACACGCTGAACCAAAACCAAAATCAGCTTTCCCTTTTCCTATTTTCAATTCTGCCCTTGTTTCTTTAATTCCTAGCCTTCTGCTTTCTTTTCCTTCACCAGCGCGACAGAACAGCCATGGCGACCAAATATCCAGTGAATCCGAGAGTCACACCGACCATTCGACTCTAGACCTGACGACGGTGACACCCCTACTCCGACGAACACCGAAGCAAGGTAACCTAACTCCATATCTCTATTTTAATTATTTTTTAGAACTCATGAAATTTACGTTAACTACGAACAAAATTACAAATTAAAATTCTTATTATTAACTGCATTCGAATTGAACAAATAAATTAAAAAAAAACTGAAATATAAACTGAAATACCTTAGGATTGCTGAAAAAAATATGTATTTTATTGCTATTTTCCTTGCTGAAAAACCGAGAGTAACTGTCCCCTACAATTGTTTCCCTCCATTTCTATTTTTTTTCCTCTCTTTCATACATGCATTCCACTTTTTTTTATAACCAAATTTACACTGATTTTATATTTTAAAATCGTGCAACTTGGTTGGTGTGATGATGCTTTGATTTTTTTAGCTTATCCTCTAATAGTGGGTGGCAATGACAGCGGCAAGTGGGCATAGGATGACTGGCAGCTTCACGTGGGCATGGGTGTAGTGTTGTGAATGAGGACAAAATCTGAGATCTACAAAGAGAATAAATGAGAGTGCCCCTAATACGTCTAAAACACATAACATAAATGAATATGAAGAAACAAAGATAAATAGTTTGGACAATCGATTAAATATACTTGCTCACAAAATTCCTAAACTTAAACCATAAAGAGCGATCATGATTCCATGGATCTAGGTGATTCTTGAGAGAAGAAGTTATTTTTAACACTCATTCAAGTGTGTATGTATATCACAATGTACTTGTATAAAAATATCCTTGTGATTATATTACAGTATCTAATTTTTTAGACATGTTTGATTGAGTGAGTGTAATTATATCGTAACTTTATATACCACGTATAGTGGTACAAATTGTAATTATACAATTATATAAGTAAAAACTTTAAAATAACATCAATTATAAAATTAAATTATATAATCAACCATACATATTACCTCAATTTCGACCTCCTTTCCTAGAAATGAATGAAACCGTCCAATTACACTCAATTAAGCTTTATTTATTTATTTTATTAATATGACGTGAATACAAGATAATATTTATTCAAAAATTATTTTTAATCATTTGACAATAAACTTTAATATTCATGGCGTACGCGGTTCTCAAATTCGGGACCTCAAAATATAACAATAAATCCCTTAACCACTGATGTCACTTGATTTATACAAATTCAATTTTAATTGTTTATCTAAACCGACGAACGAAAGAATTAATATAATGGTACGATGTAGGGTAGTAACATCGTTATAAATTTTAGATTTTTCTATTAATTTGGAGTGATTATAATGAATTACGTGTTCAAAAGCTTTTCAACCATTTAATAATAAATTCTCAAATACTAGACAACGTACTCAAACTCGAAACTTTAAGAAATAACAATAATTTCTTTAACCAATGAGATCACTTAATTAATGTAAAGGGTAAAGTATACAAATAGTCCTCTAACTTTATGGTATTATTTTGTTGAGGCCTCAAATTATTAAAACTTACAAAATGGTCCATCAACTATATGTCTTTGTTTTGTTGAGTCACCCCGATTCTTAAAAGTTAAAAAGTGATCACCCTACTATTCTTATGTTTCAAACTCATCATTTTCAGTTAAACAATTGACGATCGTCTGAGCTGAATGTTAACTTGCTGACTGAGATATGATAGAATTATATTTTAATGATGTCTATTAGCACCGTCGTTGCTTTCAAGCACTGGCTCGATGACATAATATAAACGGAGATTTGGTAACAAAATATAACTCAAACAGTTTTGATATAAGATTTTATCATATCTCAACCAACAATTTAACGTTTAACTCAGACAGTCATCAAATTTTTAACGAAAATGAATAATTTTAGAATATATGAATAGTCTGATGATTATTATGTAATTTTTAATAATAGAAGACTCACAAAACAATGTCCTATAACTAAAAGATTATTTTATAATTTTTAATAATTAAAAGATTTAATAAAATAATATCCTATAATAGAATAACTATATTTTACCGTTGTTAATTTTAGAATTTCAGAGAAGTGATCCCCTCACGTGATGACCTCTCTTCGTTGCCACGCTTGACAACGACACAGAAAAGCAATAATTGTAAAACGGCGCCGTCCTCCGACAGTTTTAATTGTTTTTAACTTTTGCCCCAAACACGCACACTCCCTCACTCCCACGCCCCCTTCCTCGGATTGCTTTAGCCGATTATAGTCCTCACAAATTCAATCGACGAAAAACTAAAAAAAATAAAATGTGAGAATCCCATTTCTTCTGTATGCTGATTCCTTCGTTGAAATTGAAAAAGAGAAATTGGTGGAGAGAAGAAAAAAATTAACTAGGAGTTTTACTCTGTTGACTGATTGATTGAGTGGTAGATCACCGTCAATTCAACGCCTTAAAAAGGTAATGTCACTTCTTTTTCAGTTTTTTTACTTTTACAGTGGAAAAATGCTGAAAAAGTTTACCGGCTTTTGAGTTTCTAGCTCGGCGGTGCAAATCTGAGAGATCTATTGCTTTTCGAGCTAAGTTGAGAGTAATTATTGTAAATTACAACAATTTTGACTTTAATGTGGATTGTTCTTAATGGAAGGACTTGAAAAGGGTTATCCGTTAATGAACAGAAATGGAAATAAATTATAGGTTTCCCCTTTTTATTTAATTTTTACATGGAAAGTATGGATTCTGTTTTTTTTTTATCTATCTTATCGATGAGTTGCAAGGGAGTGTGAGAAGTAGGAAGGTTGATGGGCAGTTTATGGTTGCTTCACTTGACATTAACTAAGTGACGAGCCTTTTGAATTAGCCGATGTCTTTTTTTTTTTTTTTTTTTGTAACCCAAGATCGAAACTTCAGATCTTGGTTGACAGTGTCCTTGGATATTTTTAATGAGCTGAAAATGGCTGTTTCTCCCTTTCTTATTTCAGTGCATTATGGAGTTTTAGTTATCTAATAAGTCAAATTGACAATTCAACTGTACCTAACGCCCTGAAAACATGGGATTACCGGTGTTGGCTTTGATGCTTTTGTGATTTATTTATTCAATAATTTGTTGTTTATTGACAGTCTGGTTCTTTCATTGTGTGTGGAATTTCACCTTTAGTAGCTCATGAAAAAGGATTGCCCCTTTCTTCTACTTCTGCTTATGGTCTAATTTTGTTCTGTGATATCCTTTCTTTTGTGGTAATAAGGAAGTTTCCTTGAAATTAATACCAATTTTGATCAGTCTGTCTCTTATAGGTCACATTGATCATATAATGAAATGGGTTTTTTTTTGTAATATCTCAACAATTGTTACATTGATTCTTGGATGTGCATTATATATGCCAGATGCTTACACCTTTGATCAGATAGATAGGAATTACTATCTGGAGAATTGTTTGTCTTAATGCTCAGATTTCTTTATGGTTTCTTTTCCTCTATAGTTTGTGATGTATCGTTTCATTGATTGCAACTAAAGGATTTATTTTTCAAGCAATTTTTCTCGCAGGTCTTCCTTGTCTAGTTGAGCTGTCATAGTTGGTACCATGGGTGTCTCAGGAAAATGGATCAAAGCATTGGTTGGCTTGAAAAAAACAGAGAAGTCACAATCTTCGGAGAAGGAAGAAAATGTTAGTTTGGATGCTCTTTTTTATTATTATTAAAAAAATCTCCATTTGCAAATTTAGATTTGGGTATGTTTATGTGTCATCTCATGTGCACTTCTTCAAAATGATGAAGTGATGATATGTTTTCGCGAAATTTCTACATATCCTGTGCACATTAAGTAAGAGTCCATGCTGTGGATGAATTCCTTTTTCCTGGACGTGGGCACATTTGACTAATCTGGTATAAAGGAAAAAGGGTGTTTTGTGGTAACTTACATGCAACAGTTATCCTCGTTAGCTAACATCGATACGTGATTTCTGTTCTCTTCATCCATCCTTGTTTATGATGCTATATGTCATTATCAGAATGATTGAGCATTTGATGCTGCTTATTTCCATTTATCTGGTCTTATTGTGGCTTGTAGTAAGTAAACATGATTTGATAATTGATACCCGACTTATAGCAGGACTTCTTCCTTAAAATCTTACTGTAAAGCTTCAGAGTTTCATTGTTAGGGACAGAAGTGTGAGTTTACTTTTCTTTGATTGTACAAATTCAATATCAAGATCAACTGCCAAAATGTTTATCGACAATTGAGAAAAAATTACCTGGGCCATTGCATAATAAAGGTTGCTATTTGTGATTTTGGTCTCATGAAAATAGCAGTTCTCATTTGTCCATGGTAGTGAAGTCATCAAAGTTGCGCGTTTTAGAATATTCTTTATGCCTTTTGTGTGTTTGTATACGTATACATATATGTTATTCGGGCACATTAAGAAGTTAGCACTTAAACGAGATTGATCTAAAATATAACAGCATTTTAAGCATGTTTTTAGCTAATATTTTTGGTCTTTGGTTGTTACAGAGGTCAGCTACTAGCAAATTTTCTCACCGAAGAAAGCATTCTGTCGAGTTTGACACAGATAAACTTCAAGAAGAGTTGGATCAGAATGCTGTGCCAATAGCCAGAGATGTTAATACTCATGCAACTGCTGATGCTGCTGGCTCCCCCTCTGGTTCACTTCAAGTGGTTGATGCAGCTGTTAATGGACTTGCTTTGGAAGAATGGGCTGCCACAAGGATACAAACAGCTTTTCGTGGGTTTCTGGTATTGATTCCACTTTTCATCTCTTAGCCATGTCGAATGAGAATTAAAATACTCTTATGTCCCATGTTGTTTGGGATGGTTTAACTTTCGTAAAGTTCAAGATGATAGTTGTAATTTTGATTTAACCTTTATTTTAAACAAATGGCTGCACTATTTCTTGGTTATACATTAAAAGAATGTCCTTAAAATGTTGAAAATATCTTTTGTTTTCAGTAATGGGTAACATAGGACTTTCAAAAATGAAGTTAGGGACAAAAACAATGAGCTGGATGGTGTTGCTTTCTTCGGGATCTATAGTGAGTGCATTTTAGCAAGCACTCATTTTTACACATGTATTATGCATCATGTATGTGCATATGTTTGTGGATGTGGTTTGTTTATGCTTATATTTTTTTGATAGGAGTTTGTTTATGCTTATATGAATAAGGTGGTACAGTAAATCTAATCACTGAAGCATAGTCTAATGCTGTTCGTGTTATACTTCATTTTGATCAAACCATAAATTCTTATATAGTTTGAAGGCTATTTTTTTTAATAAAAATAAAATTTATTGCATTTCTTCTAACTGCGTAGAATAAAAGTTTATTATTAACAAGAAAGGCCCAGCTTGTAATGATTTACCCGTTACCTAAACTGTAATTAAATAAGTAATTTAACTTCATTATTCTTCTGGCTGATGGAATTGAAATGTATTTTACTTGAATGTCAGGCTAGAAGAGCTTTGCGAGCTTTAAAAGGATTAGTAAGGCTGCAGGCCCTTGTTAGGGGTCACACTGTAAGAAAACAAGCTGCAACGACTCTTCGCTGCATGCAAGCTTTGGTAAGAGTTCAGGCTCGTGTAAGAGCAAGGCGTGTTCGACTGGCATTAGAAAGTGAAACTGCCCAACAGAAATTTCAGCAACAACTTGCAAATGGAGCTCGTGTTAAAGAAGTAGAGGTGAGGAACATTGAATCTTAGTTCATTATTCATCTCAAACTACAACTATTTATTGACTGGCTCACAAGAAATAGAGTTGAATTCATGCATGCATGCAGGCTTGCTTCTTCTTGTTGTGGTGTGTACATGTGTCTGTATTCATTCATTATCTTCGAGATTTAAATTTTAGGATCTTGATGTGGCATCATATTCTTCTAGTGTGTCAACCTGATGAATTACTTCACTTGTGTGAGTCAAATCTCCTTTAGAATGCAAGTGACTACAGACAACAATTTGCAGCTTGTAAATTGGTACAAGATTGATGATAAAATTTCAATTCTAAAATTCATACCTAGTTGAGACTTTACAATGAGGTTATCCATCCTTCTCATAAATTGAGGCATAGATGTTGGTAGTTTGCTGAATGCTTCATATGACTTCTGATTAAATGCAGGAAGGGTGGTGCGATAGTATAGGATCTGTTGAAGAAATCCAAGCCAAGTTACTAAAGAGGCAGGAGGCTGCAGCTAAACGTGAGAGAGCCATGGCATATGCTCTGGCTCATCAGGTAAGATATTGTAACAATACTGTTATTCATTAAGCAGCAAATTTTGCATTCCAATGACACTTTTATTATTTTTGGAATGAATGGCTTACCCCTCAAAGCAGTGCTTAGATTGCACTAGGCAGAAAGAGTTTTCAATTTTACAATACATCTCTATTAAGTTGAATTTTACCATAGCAGATGAGTTGGAAATGGTAAAATGGGTAGGTATAACGTGCTCAAGCATGCTTTTATTGTAGTTGGAGCTTTCGATTAATCTTGGAACCCTTCAAAAAAATTCTCAACTATCTTTTCTACTTTTTTTATGTGACCACGTTGTAAAAAATTGATATCAATATATTTTTATGCTAAAAAATTTATTGTCCCCTATTACCACCATATCTGATATAACTATGGTTTCTTTATTCAATATTTGCTTATGATTCTCTTCAATTTTGTGTATTTATTCAAGAACTCGTCCCTAAGAATAGGTTCATTGGAATGATAAAGAGAGAGCTCAGTGTAATTACTGTTCTTTTTTACCGAAGGAGAAGATATAGAAAGAGAGAGAAAGAGGTAAAGGTTGGGGACACTTGGGCTGTCTTATTTTTTTTGCTACTTTTGCAACTTCGGTTTTGTTGTTTACTGACAGAAACTTGATAATTTGCTATAAAGTAAAAGCAAATAATAAATAGGAACATTTTATTTAATTCAATATGCACAGATGACTAAAAAAGCAATTTGCAATTGAAAAGAATCCATATGTTGTAAAATCACGCATTTTTACCTATAAATATTAAATATATATTTACTTCATCAACATTATTGTTTGATTCTTCTTTATAATCACATTTGATTCTTGCTCCCCAGTCCCATGCTAAAGTGGGAAAACTTGTTCTATCTGAGCATCATTTTCATGTTTAAGTTATCCTGGATTTTCTGTTTTTGTTAATGTTCTTGAGGGTTGAACATCTGCTGTTCAAAAATTAAGTTTTGCTCTAGGTTAAATTTGTTACCTGGTCGATATGTCATCTCTCAAGCCTTTGTTATTAGCATCAACCTCAGATAAATTTATGTTGGATGCCAAAACCTTGTATAAAACCGCTCAACTCCTACTAATCACCTGATTCTTTGATTGTAAGATTGTATTGTTCTCTTAGAATCATGCCAATGACTAATCTCATTTTAGCTAGTGTTAAGAGTTGAGACCTGTTTGTGCAGTGGCAAGCAGGATCAAGACAGCAGTCTATGCCTGCTGGGTTTGAACCAGATAAAAGCAGCTGGGGTTGGAACTGGCTGGAAAGGTGGATGGCTGTACGTTCATGGGAGAATAGCTTTCTTGACATTAATCTTCGAGATGGAGTGATGATATGCAAGGATGATTCTGCAGAGGGAAACAATGGTGCCAATTCTCAGATAAAACCTGCTATCAAGAAGCCAGCTGCATCAAATCTTCATGCTAACCTGTCAAGTCTAAAGACAGGTCCATCGTATTCTGGAGGGAGTGATTCTCCACCTGGTAAGTCAGCAAATGTGCTAGAAGCAGTCAATGCATTGTCTTCCAAGCCAAAATCCAAACCAGTCCTTGAAGATTTGGTTGAAGAAGCTGGCACAAAACCTGTTACTACTTCAAGATCACGCAGCAATCCTAAAGAGAGGTCTATAAAATCAGATAGACAGCCAAAGAAGAGATTGTCTCTACCTAACAGTGGTAAGTTCCAAAAGAAATAGGTATATTCTCCTTGATGTAACCCTCTACCGGAGAATATAGTGGAGTTGGTAATTAGTCATGCTATTCTGTTGCCTATGGTGAATGCATGATAATTTTCAACGGTCTGCTCTCTGGTTTTTCTGGTTTATGCCGATTGTTGTCAAAAGAAGTGTATGATGTTAGAATGTTGCTCTGGAACATTATTCCATGAATCCCAATGGTTATCATTGTTGTTCACAGTTGTATGTTTACTGCTAATGTTCGGTTTGACCAGGTTCTATAATGCACAATTATACTATCCTTCTTGCACTTGTTCATTTTGCTAATTTCTTGTTTCAATGGTTTGATTTGAGCAGGGGGAGGCACTGGAACTGAAACCAACAAGCCTAGCAGAACTGCTGCAAAAACGACGCCAGGCTCTCACAAGCCGATAAAGGACAGGTTCAAGTCCAACGGACAAGGGGACTTGAATCCTGCGTAAAATACGGCACAGGCTTTTGATATTTAAGGAAGCATCTGTGAATACAAACCTGTCGGGTTGTCATCCACCCAGGTGTTAGCATGTATATGTGTATCAAATTACAGCACGAGATGCAATGGCTTTATTTTCCTGTCATAAAATTGAGTGGCTCCGCTGTGGCGAGGTGCCGAGTTGAGACTGGTTTGTCATGCCTTGGGTTTGCTTGGTCTATTACGGGAATAAGCAAAATGATCTGTAGATTTTATTTGTTAGTGTTGTAATGAGCTATGATTAAAGGTAACAAAATCATTTGTTGTCACACCCCAACTTAGGTCTAAAAATTTCTTAAAATTCTTCCGAAGATTAAATTGAAATTTTAATTAAATTCGGAGTTCAAAGTGAAATTTTAATTAAATTCATATCTAAATTTAGAAAATATTAAATATTGGAGGACTTAGAGTGTAATTCTATCATTTATTTTTTAGGAATATATGAACCCAAATCTAAAAAGTTTCCTCATTTGAAAATCTTATTTTCTCTCTCTTCAAACTTTCTTTTTTTAACAAGAAACTTCAATAGTTGTTTTATCACCTACCGTTGTTCTATTTTCGACACCTTTTGTATCATTGTATTCCTTGTGTTATCCCGAGTCACCAGTGTCCACCTTGTCTTCGTTGTCACTGGCGTGTGAAGGGGTGATGAAGATAAAGTTTTTGATATTTCGAAATTCAATTCTTCGCCGTCCACTGCTGCGGACCGAGTTTGGTAAGTGTCTCAAAACACGTTAAAAAATATATAGAATTTTTTCCGTAATTTTTTGACCCCGAAGGCTCTGCACGTGCTCCCACACGCCGCCCCTGCGCGTGAGGAAGTCCAACCGACTGGTGAGTTATTTGAATTTGGGTCGACCCGCCCCGCCCCATATCCGACCTGACCCGAACCGATCGACCGTTGACTGACGTTTTTTTTTAAAACCTCCATCTTTCAACTTCTTGAGTCCAATTTTACGATCCATTTTACCAAATTCTGACTTGAAAGACCCGAATCGAACACGTTAATTCGAAAATGCTTAGTATTTTTAGCATTTTTTTCTTATTTATTTGAGATTTGATTATAAAATTGATTCGAAAATATATTTTTATGAAGGTACTCGTGTTTCACCCGATCGAGGGTCGGTTAGATCTAGTGCTTCCCGTCCGTCAGATTTGAATGATTCACGTTCTTCGAGAGTTACTCGTAGGTATATATAAATTGTTTAAATAAGGTTATTATTATTATTATTATTCATATTAGGATTCCGATATGAATTTTTCTGATTCGTATGATCTAGTGTTGTCGCTGATCATGATCGTCAGACTCAGTAGTAGGCTTTCTTATCAGACTATTTAGACCGATATAGGTGTGTTTCCTGATAGTGTTACATTGCTGTTTTAAACTATTCATCTGAATTGTTTTAGATTTATGATAATACTGAATATTTTTATGACGCGATACATGATTTTCTGAATAATGTTTATCTGATATTTGATTTACTGTACATTTCTGATATGATCTCTGAATTCTGTATATGATTTATGAGTATGGTTTACTAAATTAACTATCGTTTTCATTCGAATACATGCATGCTTATTATTGACATTGGGGGTATTATTGGAGGAAGTATCTCGGGCCTAGTCTATGACTTGTAAGTCCTTACCGCATGCTCCTCAGCTTTGTGCTCAAGATAAGTCCTTACCGCAGACTCCTCGATTTTGTGTTTAGGGTAAGTCCTTACTGCAAACTCATCAGCTTAGTGCTTAGGTATTATTGGAGTAGTGTTCATATTTTTAAAATATGTTTAATAAATTGATTTTACTGAAGTATATGTGGATGTATGCTTTTGGGGAACCTACACATTCTGGTGATAAGATAGGGGTAGTGTTCATATTTTTAAAACATGTTTGATAAACTGTTTTGACTGAAGTATTTTATCTGTATGTTTTTATATACCGTAAGGAGCACACTGAGCTTTTTAACTCATTCTGTAAATTTTAACCTTTTCAGATAGTAGCAGTCTGTAGGCTAGCAGACTTGACATTAGGAGGTCCGACTACTCCTATTTTTGTACCACTGTATATCTCTATATACCATTTTGTTATACTTTGGTGACACTTGTTTTTGCTTCCGTCTCGATATATCTATATTACCGGTATTTTGCTATGTATATGTTTTATATGGTTTTTCTGATACATGTATATATTGATATATGTATGTTTATCGTATGAACTTTTCTTATGACTAATTTCATATTATATTGTATATGGATTTAAACGTCATTTTAAATATGAAAAAAATTTCTGAAAAAGATATGTAACCAGCTAGATTTGAGCATAACGTTCAGGTCAGGTCTAAGGGCATTTTTAATTTGCTTGAATCAACTAAAACCGAGTTTAAGTTTGGGTTGAAAAATTTTCCAGTTTTTACAAGAATTGCATGGCACTCTGTCTGCCTTGTCATGAGCTGATTGCATATTGTGATAAATGGAATTTAACAGAAATGTATATGGTAAAATTCAGATTTGGAAAAGATAATTTCAAACATAAACGATTAAAAATAAATTACTGAGTAAAATAGTATCAGATAAGGATATATGACCAGTTTCTTTTTGTGCAAAGAATTTCTACCTCTACATCCTTTAGTTCCTACGTGTAAATCCTCTACTTTAACAATCAATGGCGTTATATAATCTTCTCCCTGCGAAATTGCAAGACATGGCTCTCCTCTATGGTATTGCAAGTACAGTACTCGCAAAATGTGAAAGGATAAGGCTTTAAACGTTGTTTCTTTATGAAATGGCAAACTGTATCGGTGATCGAAGATGATCAATATGCTAGAGTCAACGGTGTCGGACACACCCCCAGCACCAGCCTCAGTGCGTAACCCAACCCTTTCACATTCTTCTCATTTTCTTCTTGAAATTATCTTTTCTCGCAACAATGTAAAAAGAAGAGCAAGAATTTGGCAGCTTGTATGGTTTTAAGCAATTCAAGAAGCAAGATTTGTGACGCCGAAGTATAGGGTCTTCTGTTGAAATGCATTGATAGCATAATCAACCTGAAAATGACCAAGTGGAGACTTGAAGCGAAGACCGTACCCGACGCCAACTCCAGATCCTGGTTTCCCTTGTCTCAATGCTGGATTTCCTGAAACTCGTTTATCAAACGATAAATAAGTAGCTGTTCTGCTTCACTGGTGAATTAGTGATATGGCAGCTTCCGTAACATAAAATACTACAAAAAAGATTAAGGTATCATTCCTTTCACACTCTTATTTCCTAGAATTACAACTAACCAACTCAATTCTTCGACATTTTCCATTGCATGGCATTTTCAATACTATCTACACTCCACTTTTCTCATAAAATAAACAATGGCAATGGTATGGTTGCTCCTAGAATTGCAAGAATGTTAAAAAGAGTAACAATTAGAAGATATAAGCTAAGTTCACACACCTAAGACATATGATAAGCAATTCAATGCTAGATGATAATTGTTCATGATGCGCGTCTCGAAGTGCAAGCAAAACAGATCAGAGAAATAAAGACTGGGATGCTTTCAATGCATTGAAAGAACTATTCAAGAGAAGAATAAGAAGAGGTCAGCAGGCACCAACGGCCCAGCTTCCCAGTAGGAGTTTCAGGGTGGTCACAGTCGTATGATAAATACAAAAACGAAGCAGATGCTTCATGAGCTTAGAAAGCCAAATCATGCTATTTTAAACATGTTACACAAAATGCAACTAGTTGAGAATTAACAAAAGGTTGGAAGCACAAGATTTGACAATCATTAAGATACAACTTTGTATGTAGATGAATAAGACTCACCAGGTACAAGCCGACCCGAGCCCAAATCAGTTCCACAATCCAGGAAAACAGAACCTTCCAACATCTTGTTCTGAATGCAGTAAAAAAAATGTCAAGACACATGCAATGACATAACCAACACTTTTATACTCACAGATTTCAGAATAGAATGTACTTCAACATAAGTTACATATAAACATTAGAATGCAATGCTCTCTCTATAATAATAAAGTAAATAGTAATTACATACAAAAGGAATTGTAAGTTCGGTATTAGCAATCAAACACGATCTTCCAGATCCAACAGCACCTTCACCATACCCTCGCACACTACCTAGACCGCCAATTGCAAACGCTTGATATGGTGCCATATCTCCTACAATCGAACCACCTGTCAAGCTGTCAGAGAAAAGGTAAGAATTAAGAAAATTTAAAAATTATGTAACAAGTACTCTGAGGGCGCGATTCCTGCACTGTTTGAAGTCAAGCCAGGAACTCCAATCAATTTTCTCTTCACCGATGGCTGAGGGAAAAGGAAAAAAACAACTGCAACATTACTTGCCTTGTCAGAGAAAAGCTGGTCCAAGTTTGATGCCCTTTGACGCAACAAACTTGAAACGGTTGAAGATTAACCACTTGGATAGAACTGGAATCCCTTGCTCTATTTGCATGGTAAACTGAAATAAGTAAAATGTTCCAGTTAGTGCCCTTATTCACGATACATGAAAGACACATTTCAGTAATCAAGTTGCAGTAGAAATGAATAAATTACACGAGAAAAACTGTGATCGGTTGCCTTCGCATATTGAGATTCTTGCTTTAAGACTACCATACTGTCATGAGCATTGCCACTGCACAAGAATTAAATTATTGTCAACAGTCATTTCATCATATTGTTGAGAATTGGAAAAATAGTCATCTTTACCTGCAAGTGACGGGAAACCCGTCAATATCTCTGGTAATGGAGCGGCCATCATCACTCAATAGGTGAACATTCTGTAGGGTGAAAATCTTATAAGTAACAAAATTTTCCTCGAAAGAGAACCGAACATTATGAGGTACTAATGAGTATGACTGTAGCAAGTTTTGCTCAAACCTCAAATTTTATGCTTGTTGTGCTGCTCCATTTAGAACTTGCGGGTTCATTTAGATCCAGTCCAACTGACAATCGAGACAAATTCACGCCTCCACTCCTGGAACGAGAGAAATTGTCCACAGGTATACCATGGACTCCAATCTCAGGTGAAAGTGAGTGCTGGAACAAATAATTATAAATAAGAAATATATCCGAACTCCAACCTCACAATTCGGTTTTGTTAAATAGAATTCAACAGCAATCAATGAGATAAACAACATCAACCACATACCTGCATGACAAAACATTGTTGAGCAACCCATTGCGGTCGAGGCCTCCGGTAAGCTACCAAGATATTTGAATCAGACAACCCCTTATCCCAGGATACATCAAGCTTCTCGCTTCCACCAAATAAATTTGGGTGTTTGATGCAAAGACTGCAACATACACATTGAACCGGTTACTATCTGTACAGATTCAATTTGAGCCCCAATTCGCTATCCCACATAAGGTAAAGATAGAAACAACGAATATCAAATTCACCATAAAGAAACTCATAAATTCTAGCCATATCTTCTTCATCCACATTTTAGCACCAACCAAAGATGTTATCTTTGTTAACAGCAATGAAACAAGAGAAAAGCAAGTATGAAATCAAAAACTAAAAAAGACAATACCTGCCCATTACAAGGGAAAGAGGACTGCCGGTGTTCCTGTAACAAAATAAAGCTAAATAACTTAATCAATCACTGAAACCCCATTAATTAAAATCTCATAAAAAATGAAGCATGAAGTAAGAACCTTAAAGAAGGAAGCATCATAGAAGCACATATCTTGTGGGTGAAATCAACATTGACATCAATCTTGGCTGTCATTTACAAACAAACAAAAAACAAAAGATTTACAGAAATATATAAAAAAAAACCCAAAAGTTGTCATTTTTAATAAGAATGAAGAAGTAAATGTGACTGCCACTTTAATCCCAAAAAAAAATCAAAGGAGAAAAAGAACTGACCTTTGCCTGCATGGATGCTCTTCTGAGCCCCCATATAGTTGGAGATGAAAAAAACATTAAGCAAAGGAAAATGGTTTTTTGGATAAATGGGTATGACTATCAGTTAGACAAAGATTGCATTTTGAGTGAAAGGAAACGAATTTATGGAAAACATCAAAGACGTAACGAAGAAGAAGAAGAAAAACAAGAGTCTTGTGTTATGTGTGAAGTTTCCTTTGGTTAAGGGGAAAGAATTCGTTTGTATTTTATCCGATTTTCTCAACCCAAAGGCCAAAGCTTGAAGTTTGTTATCTCCTTTGCTTCTTCTTTGGTATTACTTGCACGTGGGCTCTGTGTATTGGATTTTGTCCTTTCTTTTTCACAGTATTTTTCTCAGGATTCTTTGTTTTTGTTTTTAAATAGAGAAAATAAGCTCCAAAAATCTCAGATAATATACGATTTTGATCATTTTTTTTTGGATTTGCGAAAATGACCAACAAAATCGCAATGCGATCTCTAATTCGCATTGCGATCTCCACTATCGCAAATTCGCGTTGCATTTCGCGTTGCGATAGTTGAAAATCGCGTTGCGATTTTCCATTTCGCGTTGCGATAGTCTACAGTTGTCGTTGCGATTTTCCAAATTCATTACGGTAGTCTACAGTTGTCGTTGCGATTTTTCAAATTCGTTGTGATAGTTAAAAAAAAAGATTTTGTTTCTTAAGAATTTTCTCTAAAAAGATAGTATCCGCGCGGACGTGTCGAAGACACATATTACCACGACCACGACCACGACCACGACCACGACCACGGCGGCGGCGGCGCGCGAGAGTCCCTCTTGTTCTCTATCACTCAACAAGGAAGTGGGAAAGCCAAGCCTTAAATACCATTCCCAATAGTGTTTCCAATACTATGTGGGATTTGAGCATTACCAACACTTGTTCCCAATACTATGTGGGATTGAGCCTTAAATAGTGATATTATTTTTGAATGTTTTGCTTAAAATTGCAATAATCGCGATTGATTGTAGATTGACTTTTAATTATGACATATTTAATCGTATAATACTAATGTAATTGGTTGTTGATTCAGTTGTTTTAAGGTGCATGATTGTTAATTGTTTCATGAATAATCACATTGTATTGGAAACAAGTGTTGGTAATGCTCAATCCCACATTGTATTGGAAACACTATTGGGAATGGTATTTAAGGCTTGGCTTTCCTACTTCCTTGTTGAGTGATAGAGAACAAGGGGGACTATCGCGCACCGCCGCCGCCGTCCGTCTCAGGTCGGGTCGTGGTCGTGGTCGTGGTCGTGTCTTCGACACGTCCGCGCGTATACTATCTTTTTAGAGAAAATTCTTAAGAAACAAAATCTTTTTTTTTCAACGAATTTGGAAAATCGCAACGACAACTGTAGACTATCGCAACGCGATTTTCAACTATCGCAACGCGAAATGAAAAATCACAACGCGATTTTCAACTATCGCAACGTGAATTTGCGATGATTGAGATCGCGTTGCGATTTCAACTATCGCAACGCGAAATGGAAAATCGCAACGCGATCTCCAACTATCGCAACGCGAAATGGAAAAACGCAACGCGATTTTCAACTATCGCAATGCGAAATGCAACGTGAATTTGCGATAGTGGAGATCGCAATGCGAATTAGAGATCGCATTGCGATTTTGTTGGTCATTTTCGCAAATCCAAAAAAAGTTGGTCAAAATCGTATATTATCTGGGATTTTTGGTCACTGAGGTTATTTTCTCTTTTAAATATGTTCAATTTAATTTAGGAGCGGTTTGTTTGCCTCTTAATGAAATCATTTAACATTGAATGTTGAACCGTTTAATATTTAGTGTGTTTGTTTCGTAATTTTGAATGATTCAGTATAGAAGTACATTCTGAATGATTCAACATCATTATCAAACAACATGTCACATTCAGAACTAATTCATACATGACCTCTGAATCATTCAACATTTAAATCATTAAACGCTTAATTATTCTGAAGTAAACAAACCTTAGTCTTTTAGGTGAAATTATTACCACAATAAATAAATAAATAAATAGCTCATGAGGTAACTTTGAATGTTTGCCAGATTATAATGTTTCACAACTTCAGCTCATGAGGTAAAATCTTATTATTGAAGAAATAATTTTTTTATAAGCATATTTTTATTTGATTTAGAATGATGAAAAAATAATTACCATTTATAGTATTTTTTATCAAAAGTTTTTATCAATTTTATTTCATATTAATTTAAATTTTAAATTATAAAATCTGGTCATCACTAGTTAAAGATGATAAATTATATTATTTTCTTTTACGGGACATAAGGAGTTGGTTGCAAATTAATATTGTCTCTCCGCGATTTTATGCATGAGATGAATAGGATTGGGACTTATTATTTGTTCGATCCTTTGATTGTCATGGAAGAATCGCAATAAAAGGATTTTTGAACCGGATTATATTAAACATGAATCTGTTTTGGAACAAGGCAAGCGTCTTTGTTTCGAAGCTAACTGTGCACTTGCTTCTTCTATGTTGGGGAGTCAAACTTATCTGCAGGTTAATAGGACTGTTCTTTGGTCTCCACCGCCTCCGAACTGGTGTAAGATGAATACAGATAGGTCCCGTAAAGCTGGAAATGAATTTGCGACCTGTGGGGGTGTTCTCCGATCCTCGAATGGTGATTGACTTGTTGGCTTCTCTAAGGTAATAGGTATATGTTCTATCGTTGAGGCGGAACTATAGGGTATTTATGAAGGTCTTTCTCATGCATGGAACCGTGGGGAACGACAAGTCATGGT